CCCCCCCCCCTACTATATATACCCTTATCTCCCCCTCCCCCCCTATAACTAACTCCAAAAAACAAGAATCGAGTATAATAAGAAAGATATTGTAAAATTATAAATAACCCCTACTACCTACTAGAATAAACACTTCTCTATTATTAGTTAATTTTTAAAAATTATAACTTATATATATATATATTTAAGTTTAAAGATAACTATAGATAGAAATTAGGGTACTCAAGTATAGGTATCTTATATTATACTATTACTATCGCTATTACTATTTTTATTATTAGTTCGTTTGTTTGTTCGGTAGGTAATTAATAACTAGTAGCGACAAACTATAACCCCCTCCTCCCCCTACAAACAATTCTAAAACCAAGAATCGAGTATAATAATAATAATAATAAAAAAATCACATATAACTCCTACTATCCTACTAGAATAAACACTTCTCTATTGTTAATTGATTTTTAAATTTTTTTACATATATTCAAGTTCAAAGACGACTAAATGATTGAAATCAGGGTACTTGAGTATGGGTATCTTATCTCATGCTATCGCTATTACTACCGCCAGTTTTTCGTTTGGTGAGGTAGGTAGGTAGGTAGGTAGGTAATCAAAACCATTACCATTAGCAGCAAATCATACCTACCTCTGCCCATCCAGCAAGCAAGCAAGCAATCCACTAAATGCATCATCACCATCACCATCACTATCTCACCGACAACCCCCTACTCTCAGCCGTCCTCTTAAACACCTTCAACGCTCCTCCTCCCTCTTCTCCTTCTCCCCTCTCAATCTCTTACCATCAACCTCCTTCCTCGTCTCTCTCTTCTCTTCGGCCCGTCGATCAGCTTCCCTCCTCTCCTCCCTCGCCTCGGCAACTCTCTTAACCATCTCCTCCCCAATCCTCTTCTTCAACCTATCTTCCTCACTCATCCCCTCCTCCTTCGCTTTAAGCTGCGCTTGCAATTTGGCCGCCTTAACCTCCTCGTTCTTTTTCACCCTCTTCCCCCTCTTCCTCTCCTCCTCCTCTTTCTTCCCCTCCCCCCACGCACGAAACACCTTCCGATTCCGCGTACAAAAAAGCACGACTTCCCTTGTAGCAAGCACATCCTCGAGACAATCATGAACACCACCTTTATTCTTCCTTATCCGGATATTTAAGAGTTCCTCACAAAGGAGTTTCAAGCCGAACGTACAACCGACGATGTTTCTTACCAGAACACCCGAGTCGACGATACGTGGGTGGATGAGACGGAGAGAATTGAGGTCGTGTTCTAATGCGTGGCCGATCAAAATTGTTCGATCGTCGATGAATTTCCAGAGCTCGGCGCGCGCGGCGGACCACCCTGCTAGGGCGTCGCCCCGTTGGATGGCTTGGGTGAGTGTGTAGCGTGAGATGCCGTGGATGGTGGTGCGCATGATGGATATCTTCTCCGGGGGCGAGATGTATTTGTTGATTAGGACTGCGCCGGTGAGGTAGTCGCTGGCGCAGAGGAGGATGGCTTCTCCGGGCCCGCCGGTGGAGACGCCTGCCATTTCGCAGTCGAGGACGACGGCGCGGTACTTGGGGGTTGAGGGGGAAGCGGGAGGGGTTCGGAGATAGCCTTTGTGGGTGGTGTATCGGTAGTTTTGGGAGAAGGTGTGGGTGGGGCCGGTTGTGCAGCCGGGGGTTGTTGGGGGGGAGGTGCAGCAGGTGTATGTTCTTTCGCTAAAGGGGTCCTGTATTTTGTGAGTTTTCTTCCTTTCATAGATTAAGAAAATGAGGGATGGGTATACCGCTTGATCGGGTTTTGATAATGGCTTGGGGTGGAAACGACATTCACGGCCCACTGCATCTTTTTCTTTTGCTATTTCATTTTAGCTTCACCTCACTTTCTCAACCCCAATCATATTGGTAGTTTCAAACTCACTTTTGCAACGCATACATTTCCGACGATCCACATAATCTTTCGGATCAAACGGTTTGGTAATATAATTATTCGTCTGAAGCGTTGACTCTCTATGAACTCGAATGCGTAAAGCCTCAAGTACAGCCGGATGATCAACTTCTGGAATTACAGACCATCCCGATTTACCATCTTTCGCAAGCGCAATCTTTGGCGATGAATCTTCAACGTTCGGGTTGCCACTGGAAGATAAAGCTGTTTTTCCTGGTTGTCGTGGTGGAGTATTCTTGCCCGGTACCCATAAGGTCGAAGGTTGATGGCGAATAGAGAATCTGAGGTGATCGTTGAGTTTCCGTTGGGTGGTGAAGGATTGGTTGCAAGTCCAGCAATGAGGTTGGTCTGGTGCTTTTGCTTGCTCTTGAGCTTGAGGGTGCAGGTTTTCAAGACGGTTTGGTGACATTGTGAGGCGCTGATTCAGAGATGGATATCAGTGATGCTCACGATAGTATCGAGACTAGTGGGCAAACTAAAGTGTTTGCGTTGAGTTGTCGAGGTGAGGTGGTACAAAGTTGATGCTGCTACTGTATGCCGCCGGCGCCAAGATGTAGACGCGGAGATGCATCTCGTGACGAGGGGAAAGGTGAGGTTGAGAAAGAGCTACTTGGTGAAAATGAGGAGAATAATAGTGAATCACCTATACTTTTCACTCTTTTTGCGATAAGTGAATATAGCAGCTGGTTACTATCATGTTCAGGATGTTTTTCTATCTTCCCAGGTCTTTTCTGGCAGAACGACCACTTGGTGGTTTTCCCACAAACTTCGATCATCTCAGATATACGCATCTGTTGACGATAATGTACCCACACGAAGACAAATTATAAGGCACTTGCCAAAATCCCACTGAGTATATCAACAAACGAAGATCTTCAAAGAAATAAAATCCAAGACTCAGATATAATCTTTTCAGAAACATTCCCCACTCAACTCTCAGCATCAAACAAAGTGTCGTCAATCTAATTCTCACAAGCTTTCTCAAACGGTCAAACCTTCCTACCTCCACCCCACCCCTTCACCGCCTAATCCCATCACCTCTTATCCCCTTATCACCAACCGATAAAGAACCAAATATACCAGCTCCCCGCAATATACACCTTCTCCAACCCCCCCCCNCCAAGGCTCAAGCACAAATCTGCACGTTGAGCTGGTCAAGGATTTTTTCTCGCTCTGCATTAGATTTGGATCTCTTGCACCGCGGCCATCGGATGCTTTTTGTGTCTCCAACCCCCGGTTTTATTCCATTTTCGATTCCCACTTTTTGGGAGGATGTGATTGGTGGTGGGCGATGGCTCAGCTGGACAGGGATGCGGATGCGGGCTGGACCGTTCGAAAAGTTTGAGAGGCGAGATGAAGGGCTAGATGGGTTATATTGAGCTGGATTTATGCTATGAGGTTCATGGGATATGCAGGGAGGGTGATGAGCCTCATTTGATGGTCTGGATTGTTTTCTTGGGTGTTGTGTTGATATCGGATTTCACCCAGTTGAAGAGTGAGGGTTGATTTCACCGTCCCAATCATCATCCCCGGGGATGTGATCAAAGCCCGATCGAGATTTCTTTTTCAGCTGATCTCGTCGACGCCAATGCCAACCAAGCCGTTGTCAAGCAATCGTCCCGTCGGTTGTCAAAGTTAGTTGGAAGTTAGTGTTGGTGTTAGTTGGTGTGACGGCTATCAAGTCAACACCATGGAATTTTGGTGTCTCGTCACGGAGTACAACTTTACCTAAAGCTGCAGCACAATTTCCAGTTTCACCATGACCCGTGGTAATGCCATCGGTGTCGTATGTGGATGTGGTATCGGATGCGCGCGTAACTGTAACTGTGGTACACTATCCCTTGCCGCCCTGAAAGCATGTGAAGTTAAGCTGCAAAGACCAGCTGGGCGGCAGCAGAAGTTACGCTCGACGATGAGGGCTGTGGTGGGAGATTATAGGAAGTCAAAATCATTCGTTGGTAGAAGCAATCTGGAGAGAGCCGAGAGAAGAGACCCTGTAGTTGTGGCTGTAATGTAATGTAATGTAACCACAGCTGCAAGTGGTGGCATAAGGTTGTGTTGAGCATGATGCTGTGCCCGCTCTTTTATCTCTGCTGTACGACATGCCGAATAAATACCTGTATTCTCGCTTCCGCTGTCACATCCTCTCACTCTCCTCTTGTTGGTGTTGCTCTCTTCTCTATCTCTCACATTCGCAGGTCAGCCACTGAAACATCGGCGGGGATCTTCATTTGTTTCGCATTTCACGGTACCAAGTCGGCGCCATCAACATCACCATCACCATCGCCATCCCTTTGCCCAGCGTCTTCTTCTTCTTAACTTCACTTCTTTATTGCATCACATCACCTCGTCAACTTCACCTCCTTCGTATCAAGACTTTTCTCATCTGCACCACCAACACAGCAAGGCACGCACACGCAATTCCGACAAGGTGATCGTTGCCAGGATCCCAATTTATTTTAATAGGTGTGGGTACGTCATAACAAGGACCAGGACAGGGGTGGCCGGATCATCTCCTTGTTTTCTCGTGATTTCTTCCACTCGCAGTCTCTCTCGCCAGCCCACCAATTAATTTTAGGGGTCGCCCATGTTGGCCATACAAAAAGAATTGGTCTGTGCATCGACCTCGTGAACTGGAGATTGCTACTTGATCTCGAACCTCGCTCTTCTTCAAGCGCCTACGCCCTGTGGTCTCGAACCTTGACCTGATCCAGATCTCCCTTGATCCAAGTTCACTTTGTGCCGAAACTGAGCTCCTCGACCTTCAAAGGTCATACACGGGGATTTCTCTTTTCTCTGAGGATCAACAACACCGAAACCGTCGCATCTCCTGGGCAGCTCTCAAGATCGAAATCATGGCCGACGAACCCACCCCAAATGTTCCCAATACCACCATCTCCGCCCTCGTCGCGACGTTGACTCCGACAGCCATCATCGCCGGTGTTTACGTCGCCATTTTCCTGGTCTTGCGAATGACCCAGCAGAGATGGTATTCCCCAAGAACTTATCTTGGTGCTTTGCGCGAGCAGTAAGTAACCTCAATTCGACCATACCTTGGATCCATGATACTAATTCATTGCAGGGAGCGAACGACACCACTTCCGACCGGTTTGTTTAATTGGATTGGTCCTTTTTCGAAGATACCCGATACCTACGCGCTACAACATCAATCCATTGACGCATATCTCTTCCTTCGTTTCCTTCGTATGACCGTCGTGGTCATGTTCTGCGGATGCTGTATCACCTGGCCCATTCTCTTCCCAATCAACATTACCGGTGGTGGAGGCGGAGGACAATTGGATTTGCTATCTTTCGCCAACATCAACAAGGACTTGCCAGGGGGAAAATACCGCTACTTTGGTAGTGCTGGTTGTGCCATGATCTTCTTTGGTTTTGTGCTATTCCTGGTCACCAGAGAGAGTATTTTCTACATCAACTTGCGCCAGGCTTTCCTCTTGTCGCCTATTTATTCCAAGCGTATCTCGGCGAGGACCGTCTTGTTTACTTCCGTCCCAGAAGAGTACTTGGATGAGGCCAGACTTCGACGCGTCTTTGGTAGTGCTGTCCGCAAAATTTGGATCACCCGCGATACCGAAAAGGTTGATGAGTTAGTAGAGGAACGCGATAATGTGGCTTACAAGTTGGAAGCCGCTGAAGTAAAACTTATCCAGTTGGCAAACGGAGAGAGACTCAAGGCAGCAAAGAACGGCGGTGGTAATGCTGAGGAGGAATTGATCGAGAATGGTCAGGGTATGGAATCTGGATCGGTAGCCAGTCGTTGGATTCCAGCAAAAAATCGTCCATCTCACAAGCTTGGTAAATTTGGTTTGATTGGAAAGAAGGTTGATACTATTGATTGGGCTCGTGAAGAGTTGGCCAGATTGATTCCAGAGACCGAAGCTGCTCAAGCCGCATACCTCGATGGAGAGACTAAACTCTCAGGAAGTGTTTTCATTGAATTTGCATATCAATCCGATGCACAAGCTGCTTTCCAAACATTGTCACATCACCAGGCCCTTCACAGTATGTTGACCTTTTTCAATTCCCCATACTCTCACTAACCACCTGATAGTGTCTCCACGTTATATTGGTGTCAATCCCAAGGAACTTGTCTGGCAGTCATTGAAGATTAGCTGGTGGCAACGAGTACTTCGCCGAATCGCAGTCCTCGCTTTTGTAACCGCTCTTATTGTCTTCTGGGCCATTCCTGTGGCATTCGTTGGTCTTATTTCCAACATCAACTACTTGAAGGACACCTACAGTTGGCTCTCTTGGTTGAACGCCATTCCAACTGTAATCATGGGTGTGGTGACTGGTCTTCTTCCTGCAGTAGCATTGTCTATTCTCATGTCGTTGGTCCCTGTTATCATGAGAAGTAAGTCTTACCCTCCCAACCCATATGACCAAAACTAACGATTGCCCAGTTGTCGCTAAACTTGCTGGCGAACCATCCATGGCACGTGTCGAGCTCTTCACTCAAAACGCATACTTTTGCTTTCAAGTCATTCAGATCTTCTTGGTCATGACATTGTCTTCCTCTGCTCCAACTCTCATTCAATCTATCACGGAGAACCCAACCGGAATTCCAACTCTTCTCGCCAAGAACTTGCCAAAAGCATCCAACTTCTATATCAATTACTTTTTAGTTCAAGGTTTAACCGTTTCTTCGGGTTATCTTTCCCAGGTCGTCGGTTTCTTCATCTTCCAGATTATGTACAAATTCTTGGCCAACACACCTAGAAAAATGTACCAAAAGTGGTCAGCTTTGAGCGCTATCTCTTGGGGTAGCACTCTTCCAGTCTTCACTAACATTGCAGTCATTGGATTGACATATTCTTGCATCGCCCCACTTGTTCTTGGGTTCGCTACAGTCGGCATGTCCTTCTTTTACATCGCTTTCCGATACAACATTCTCTTTGTCAGTGATAGTCAAATCGATACCAAGGGTCTTATATACCCTCGTGCACTTCAACAACTATTGACTGGTGTCTACCTTGCCGAAATTTGTCTTATCGGACTTTACGGTATCGCTGCTACACCTGGGCCTTTGGTTCTCATGGTCATCATGCTTGTTTTCACTATCCTCTACCACGTTTCACTCAATTCTGCTCTTGATCCTCTATTATACAACCTTCCCAAGACTTTGGAAGCCGAGGAGGAATCTCTTCGTGAGGGTCTCGAAGCAGGACTCCACCCACATGGTGCTGATCTCAAGGAAGAGAAGGATGGGGAGGTTTCTCCTGGTAGTGCAGCAACACCCAAGAAACCCAACTTCATCGCCAAGTTCTTCGCACCCCACATCTACACCGACTACCACACTCTTCGCCGTCTCGTTCCTCATGACCTTGTCGATCCTGATCACCTTTACGAGGAGTCCATTGCTTCCAGCGCTTACCACCCACCATCTGTCATCAGCGAGGCACCATTACTTTGGATACCAAGAGATGTTGCTGGTGTTAGTAGACAAGAGGTACTTCACACCAGTCGGGTCATTCCTATTATTGATGATGGGTGTGCACTTGATGAGAATAATAAGTTGGTTTGGGACCAGGCTAATGCTAGACCTCCTCTATGGGTAAGTTATTAAATTCCTTTCAACTGAAAAATCGTACTAATTCATTTTCTTTTAGGCCGAGAAGGTTTACTACTAAGCATTTCTTGACGAGAATGAAGATGTTTGGCATGTCCACAACACCACCGCCATTCGTTTGTCGACTTTAATCCAACCTTCTTTTTCTCCGGAAGTCCCTTCAGATCTTTGGTGTTCTGCGAGGGTATTGATTGTAATGGAGGAAGTTCATGGAAAAAGAAGTCGAAAAAAGAGAAGCGAAGAGAAGAGAAGAGAATACCTGCATCTTGGTGGGTCCAGCGATCATTTTTGATATCCAGAATTTGCTGTTTATCATTTCTTTTTTTCTTTGTTTGTTAGTTGGTTTTTCTTTATTCTGTACGTATTGTACTGTAGATACCCAGAGCGAGTTTATTGCTGGTTCTTTTTTTCTTTGTCAAGGAGGTGGGCGGTAGTCAGGGAGGTAGTAGGAGGAGAGGAAAGGGGAGGCAACTAGTTAGCTAGTTCGTATAATAGGACGGAATTAGTTGAGATTGATAAATCAAAATGAAAAACACGAAAAGAAAAGATGGTTTGAAAATATACGTACTCTCTTCTTTCTAGATTTATATGTAGTAAAGTACTGTGAAGTATTTGTTATATCCTGGGAGCTGAATTACTATCCTACCCCTACTTCCCTTATTTATATTCCATTTTCTACGTTATACGCTATACGCTAAACGCCACGCCACGCCACTAAACCCTAGCTACCTAGCTAGCTAGCTATTATAGCTAGTCTATCTATATAAATAAGATACCTTTCTCTTTCGTATTACCTTAGAGGGGAAAGCAGAGTTTTTTAGATAGTCTCGAGACTCTCGCCTAAGAGTCTTATATAGAATCTAGTCCGAAAAGAAAAACCGCTAGGTAATAGGAGGAGGGCGGTCTTTTATTTAGGGACGCTCTCGGGACGCTCTCGGGACGCTCCGGGACGCGGCGGAAAAGTGTTCGTGCAGAACTGTATATAGGACGTAGAGCCGCAGCGCACGGGCCATAACACATACTCGGTACTACTCCTATACGCTTAACCCTAACGCTATAAAAATATAAGTATCAAATTTAGTCGATTCAGCGAAATTCGACGGACGCGCGTCAGGTGCGGCCCGCTGTACGGTATAAGGTGTTAGCAGCGGTTGTGGAGGGGTACATCACAAGGGGCGGGGAACGGGCGCGGAACATGCCCGTAGACGCCCGGGCATACACCCGAGCGTGCCCTGCTTACGTAATTATGTGTGTACCTAGGAGCAGGATTTAGGACGGTTCTAGGACAGTTCCGGGACAGTCTCGAAACGCGGTATAAAACTATTTTATTTAGTAAACTATTTATTTATTAAACTATTCAATTACTAAACTATCTTATATATAAGACTGTTCTTAGACCGCCCTCCTCCTATCACCTAGCGGATTTTTTCCTAGGACTAGATTCTATATAAGATACTCTAGTAAGAGTCTCTAGATAGTCTAAAAAACTCCGCTTTCCCCTCTAAGGTATATACCGTACCCTATACCCTATAACCTATATAGTAGGTACCCCTACCCTCTACCTTATACCCTACACCCTTATATTCTTACAGTATATTCTTAAAAGGGATCGATTTATAAAATTTCTTTATATAGTATTAGGAAAGGTGTAACGAATACTCGCTGGCTAACTAAACTTGGCTGGGTGTTCGCTGGTTGGTATGCTATGATAAGAAGAAGACTATCGGGTTGTTCACTTGGAAGTGAACTCGTTACTTGTATCAAAGATGTCCAACTAATATGATAAGATTGATAACTAAGTTGAGCACGAAGCTCCTATCTAGTGGCAGAAGTGCCAGAGCGTCTCTCTTCCCTCCTTGCGAACAATCTATTCCTTGACCCCCACCATAACAGGGGTTTAGAGGTTTTAGAGAGGTTTAATAGTATAAAATAGAATAAAATAGAATAGAAAAGAATAGAATAGAAAAGAAAAGAATAGAAAAGAAAAGTATATAGGTTACTATCTAGGTAGATAAGGAAGTAAGATAAAAAGGGAGATAAGAAAGGGGTTAAAGGGGATAATATAGAATATAGTTATTAAAGAATTTAGAATAAGATAAGATATAATATATAAGATAGATAATAATAGAAGGTAAATAGTTATAGGTAGGTAGGTAGAAGTAGGTAAGTTAGTAGTAAATAGATAGAAGGTAGAAACATAATAGTAAAGGGTAGAAGGTAGGAAGTATATTATATACTAGTACTTGAGTATAACTTAGTATAAATAGAAGAGAAGAAGAACCTAATAAAAAAAATAAAAAAAAAATAAAAAAAAGGAAGTTAGAATAATAATAGAATATATAGTAGATAAGAAGAAAGGCTTAGTAAGCTACTTATATAGTAAAACATATATCCTGTCACGGATGCCAACAAAGGATAAAGTGTATACAGCTTTTGAATCAATTGCTAGAACTAAAACCGTAGGTACGAAGAAATCAAACTAAAGAGACAAGAGAATCTGAAAGGAGCGAAGTTATTTAAGTTGTTCCAATGCCAAGTCTCGTCACGAGCTTGGCCAAGCGAATGAAATCCTGTCAAATGAAATCCAGCTCCGTCACATATCCTATCTTACTACTACTATATACATTTAATACTACTATAATAATATCTACTATATTATTAGCTATACTTTTATTCTACCTATATTCCCCTCTACTAGAAGGCTCGCCTTACGATTTAAGAGGGTTTTAGACCCTAATTTAGTTAAAATACCCCTGTAAGGGGTATAAGGTCGAGGGTACTTATACTTCGCTTTCTACTTATATATAGGCGAATTATAAGTACTTAAAGATAGCTAGTAATATAAAAGAAAACCAATAACAAGCCTTGTTTGATTAATATAACGTGTACCGATTAACGATTAAATATAAATAAGATAATAAGATAGGAAGAGAATATATGTCTTATACCTTACAAGCAAAAGTACAGGTATAAGCACAAGTATAAACATAACTACAAACACGAAAACAAACAAAAACAAGCTTTTGAAAGATCTTGAATTATATCTTCTTTCCATTTTCTCTCTTCTCTATATGCCCCATTCATATATGTTACTGTACTGTACTATATCCCTGATACCCCTTGCCCAGTACTGTACGGTACTGACTGTACTTACCACCTGTAAGATACCAACGGGGGATAGAGAGAGAAAACGCTTCATGTACATACACCGCTCTGTACTGTATGTACAGTATAGTATGATCTTATAATTACCCATTTCCATCCCACCGCCATCCCAAATTCCAATTCCCATTTTATACTAGCACTAGTACTCTACATAATCCCAGAATCCACACCACACCACACCATAACCCCGTCCAACTCCAGAGACGACCAACCCTCCCTCCATCAATCGCCAACCAAGGCACACCAAACCATCCAGGATACCCCACAACCACAAAAGACACCCCGCAAAAGAATTCCTATCCCGAGATAACCTCACTAGCATCATGCCATTCGCTCTCATCCACAGGACTACTCAAAATCCGACCGATACTACCCATACGCTTGATCCGCTGTGGCTGTGATTCACTCGCCGTAGGTGTAATCGGATCGCTACTCGCTCCACTCGCAGGAGGCGTAGGTAACAAGGAAAGATCCTCCAGATCCTGCGGTCCCTCCAAGGATGGTAGAACCCTCCCAGATCGTACACCCCCACCCCAAGCAGTTGCAAGTTTAGCAGTCAATTGCTCAGGACTTTGATTCATGAGACGTCTCGAGGTGCGTCGGTTGTATGCATTGTCGTTGGTTTTGGGGTCGGGACTCCGTGGTGGCTCGTTTTGAATTGGTGGGAGAGAATCGCCGCGTGGTGGGTGGCTTAGGAGGTTGATTCGTTCGAGGAAATCGGAGTTCTTGGCTCTGAGGTTGGGGAAGTGGTTGGAGTATGAGTAGGCGGGAAATCGGTTTGCGTTGGTACCGAGGTTGTGTTTTAGGGTATCTAGTCTGTCTTGTGGGGATATGTGTTTGGGTAGGGTTGGGACGATACGAAGCAGCTCGTTCCATTTTTCGAGAACGTTGGCGACATGAGATGCATCTTTTGCTCGTTGTTCATCTACGGATTCATCCTGTCCCATAATTTGAGGGCCATCAACCTGTTTATCCTTCGAAGTCGTGCCAGTGGATTTCGTTGGTTTGCTAGGCATTGATTGTCGTTTCTTCTTATTTTGTGGAACAGCTTTTGGAAGAGAATCTGCAGCTGACATGGACTTCGTTTTCCTTTTCGGCGCAGGAGGTTTCTGTTTGGCTACACCTGCAGGAATTGTAAGGGTCGGCAAGGAGATTTCAGGGCGTGATTCTCTATTAGCACCCAGAGATGTTCTCGACTGGAATTTATCAGGGTGTGCAGGTCGACTTGCAATATTTCCGGCATCATCAGGGAACATTTTCAGCGTATCCAGTATCTTGAAAGTGACATATGCACCATTCATCTTGTCGTCTCTCATACATTGTGGTCTCGACTTTTTGACTCCAGGTTTCGTTTCGCCGATCGATTCCCTTGGCTTTGGTCGGTCTATGGATTGTCGCTTCTTCTCTATGGATTGTCTCTTCTTCGGCTCTTCGATTGTGCCCTGAGGTAACCATATGTCTTCTCTCCTCTGTTTGAGATCTGATACCCAAGCATCACAATCCCATTCAACCCAATAGTCAATGACATCACCCCATGTGCTTTCAGGTGGCTTGGTTCTATTAACAAACACCACCGTTCCTCCTCTACTATGTACAGCCTTGGCAAACTCCTTGACCATGATCTTAAGCCCATGGACTTTTAGACTGGTACCCATAATCAGTAGGACGTCGGGTCCAATTCCAATATCGTGTGTGATAAGAGGCCCAACAAGATTTGCGTGGGGATGCTCTTCACCATATAAAACAATATCCGGTCTCAATCGACCAACGGCCAACTCTCTTCTACCTCTTCCGGTACGGTGGGCATTGTATTCCGTGCAGTAGGGACAGTCGGGGGCTTGCCCAGACAAAGTTGCAGATTCTCGATCTGCTTCGCTCCAGGGCGATAATTTCCCGCAAAGTCCACACCGGAGGTCAACCAAGCTCCCGTGGAGGAGGACGACCTCAACTCCTCCGTTATGAGCGGACTGCTCGTCGATGATCTCTGGTCGAGGTTCTCTTTGCGTTTTCGAGTGAAACCTTGCGCGATGACCCGGCCCACGCGTGAGTTCCGTACATAGCCCCAGGCGTTCTTCCAAGCAGTCGATATTTTGTGTGTAGTTCCTGACCAAACGTCCTCCGTCGCGGAGGGTTCTGATGAAGGCGTGGGTTTCTGTTGTCGTTTTAACATCATTTTGAATCTTTTGGCGCAGCGAAGATATGAACATGTAGAAAATTGAAGTCGTGAAAGGATCCTGCCAAACCATGGAATCAAAAAGATCACGTCCTTTCATATTAGGAAGGGTTCGCGAAGAGGTTTGTGATGATTGAGTCGACGGCTCCTCATCCGATGGCGAGCTCATAAAACTTGAAGCCTCTCTTTGTAGGATTTGTAGACGTTTGTTGGGTAGCACTTCGCGAAGATCGTCAATAGGAACACTGTTGAGGCGTGCTGTCGTAGGTTCAGGGGTAAACGTTCTGACAGCCGCACTTCTTAGAGATCTGGTAGGAGATGAAGTTCTACTCGTCGCGGCGGTTGGAGGGTCTGCCAAACTCGAGGACTTCCTAGTAAACCGACCGTTGCTTTTTCTTGTAAACTTTTGTGGCTGCTCAGGCTCGCATGCTGGGCTGGGAAGTTCGAGAGCGTTGGGTTGTGGACTACAATCTTTGGTCACCCGTTGCCGACTTGATCGTAGTGAGCGCAGAGAAGGAGAATTGTTCTCTCTCGTCGAGCTGCCGACTGATGTATCCGACTCCCGATTTTGATAATGCGGAATGTCAAAATACGAAAAACTAAGCGACGGGGTTGTCGAACGGGAGCTTAGAGGACTGCTTGAAGGCAGTATATTTGATGTTTGTGGTTTCTCATCGTCTCTTGACGGTGGCTGAGACGACGGGTCTTCCTCATCATCAATCACCCCGACAACATTGCCATCCGGGGCCACGACCTCGTAAAAGTATGACGGTCGCTTTCTTTTCTTTGGTCGATCATCAATATCAAAGGTATTTGTTTGTTCCCAAGGTGGGTTCTCTAAAGATTTGTCATACTGAGCTTGAATCAAGGAGTACAAACCATTTTCAGACCGGAAATCCTAGATTCTTGATCAACACCGTCCCAAATTAATCTGGGGCGGGAAACTCACTGGTATACCACAATTCGTACTAATACCGGCACCCGTCACCACGATAACCTTTTTAGACCTCGCCAAAGCATCAGCAATACACTGCAACTCCTGGCTCGAGCCTGATTTAACGTTTGTCGTCGGCATTCTGACTTCTGTTGTACCTGCAGCGTAATTTTTGGCAGCAGTTCACTAACGGCCAAAAAGATCCAATATTACAACCCCGCCTTCTTACGTGGTATGATTCACAAGCTTGGTATACTCCATACAACAGCCTTCAAGATACGCCACAACACACACGCTGCATCTCAGACAAGGATTCCGGAAAGATCTGGGGTATCGTCGCGGGGGTTGACTCGTACTCGCGGACAATGCAAGAATGCCCTGGGCGTGTTCTGGGTTTAGGTGGGATCAGTTCCTGGAAGAATGGAAAGTGGTGGAATCCAGATTTGGCGTAACGAGGGACTGGGAGTATTTTTTCTTTGCTGATTCGAGATGAATTGATATGTATTTCGCAATTGAAGCGCCTCGAAATCCACCCTTAGCATACGCTTCGACTTCGTAGCTCTGGAAATACTGCCTCCGGTCGCTCGCGCAAAAGAGCTCCCCTGCAGATGGAAACTCGCAATGAAAGAAATTCGTTCGTATGTGTACCGATCTCAGTCGCTGATATTTCGCTGGTAACTTATGCTCCCCAATTGAACTGTTTGAGGTGGCTGTGATATTGGCACCGACGCGTGGGTAGAGGCAGTCTTTGAATGGCGGCACAAGGCGATGGATCGGTTTGGGTTGGGAAATGTGATTCTGCTGATAGATCTTGTGAACAAATTTCCAATATTAACAGCAGGAACCAAATAGATAGAGTGAGGTGGTGGGAGGTGGTGGGAGGTGGTGCGAAGGTGGTGCGGAGGTGTTGAATCAATATTTGATGAGGGAATCGGTGGTGGTAGTGAAATGGCATGTCGCGACGCCGAGTGAACGCGCCTAATCAATTGGTTGGCGTTGGCGGCGCTGTTTACTTGCTTCAGCTGGTCCAAGTCTCCCCTGTTCCCTGTCCCCTGTCAGTGGTCCTTTTGGCGTTTTAGCGCTTCCCGTGGGCTCCCCCACATTCTGGTATCTGACCTCATCACTTTATAAAAAAAACATCTTCAGACATTCTTTTCCACCAAATACTGCTGCCAGCTACTTTCCTTTGTGCAGGTTATGGGATGCCTTCCTTCCAGTTTGATAAGTCACGCCTCAGACTCCAGGCCCCTTGTCAATAACCTGGTGAATGAGAACTAAGCTTGTTGGAACCCTTGGAACCCAGAATGCCCAGGGACGGAAAATGACTTCCGATCATCCGCTGTTTGAAGAGGGACGCTTGAATGAACCTCAACAGACCAATCAAGATGGTGAGCACTTGAACCATACATAAAGTGGTATTTGAAAAGAAATTGAGATTTCCTACCTGAGGATTCTGAGCACCCAGTATGGAGGTGATGCTCTTATGAGGCAGCTGGAGTTCTAGTCCTACAAGATGGGGATACAAATGGCGAGGTTTTCCCGTCTCGGTAAATCGAGATCCTTCGCCTCTGGAGCTCGATCGATTGCTTGCCCATATTCCTGATATGAATATTTGTTCATCTTCAAGGCCAGCCTCGTGTGAAGTATCACAGGAACAGGATGAAGCTCCATCCCAGCGTTTGCTGCTTAGGTGGCAGCGAATGAATGACAGCTAAGTCCGGCAAGCAATGGGAAACGATGGACTAAAACACCAAACTCCCAAACTCAACGGGAAGTGCTGTTCAAGAGTCATCATGTTACAGTGTCATAGCAATTAAAAGATGTTAGACGGTATTCTCCAAACTGCTTTCTTTTTCATAATGTTCGTTATTCACTTTCCACCTCTCCTTTTCCTTCACTTCCCATCATGGTCAAAAACTTCCAATTTGTTTGGCCCAAGGATGGCCCCAAAGGAAAGAGTGGTCATCGTGGGTTTTTTGGCAGACTCAACAATGTCATCACCAATCGTGGTCCAGATGTTTTCCTCCAAAGGAAGGGGGACAAAACGCCCATCAAGCCCGATGAATGGGGGAATTGGTAAGTCATATCCCATGAGACAAGAAATCAGCATCAGCTCACACTACTTCAGGGATTCATATACGAATCCCAACGCCCAATTGATTGAGAACACCCGACAATATATGTCTCGGGGCAACAAGAGATATGACCCGCATACAAGAAGATACAAATCATGGGCTTGGGACAATGATTATCATCAACAAGGTCCAGATGGGCTCGGGCCGGGTTACTACCCGCATTTCACAGCTTTGGAATATGGCCAGATGCATAGAACCTTGAATCGCGGACACAGAATTGATCCCTCGAAGATGGGTCGTGAATGGAATCAGTATGGGCCCAAGGTGCGTGTTATTACAGGACAAAATAACGTTTCTATGCTGATTCCTTCTGCTGCTAGCGCTTCCGTCAAGAACACGATTGGTTTTGGCAAGAGGCTCATCGAGTCGCGGAAAATCGTCTTGAGAATCTTCCTGATTGGTACGATGTCAACCAGAATTTTCAGATGCATCAATGTTGGCCTAGTGATCTGAATGATTGGGCTGTTACTGAAGGTCTTGGTCTTGGTCGTCGGCGAGGGCGATATCGCTGGCCTTGAATTGGGAGTGTTAGCATTTTGTTGGTGATTTTGGAAATTGCAGGCTACACATTATTGTTCAAGACGAGAGATTTTTCATACTAGTCTACGTGATAAAAGGACATTTCGAAGTAGTCATGTTCTTGACAGGAACTACTAACATTATTCTGCATTGGTCTGACGCAATAAGAGTAATAGAAGTCTCTTTTGTAGCACAATTTTTGATCCCTTCTCTTTTTCCCACTCAAAGTACTTCAAGCACTTCTCTTCATTCTTAGAACCCATCTGTCAATGATTGGTTGGTACCAACCACCGGTAGAAGGAAACACCCCGCACCTCCTTACCCGCCACGCACCTCCTTCCCCGCCACGCACCCCACGCTCGCCTGACCTTCCCTTCCGGCCCAAGTGAAGCGGGGGAAAGAGCGAATAGCTACCAACTTACCCGAGTTGATGTAGTCATAGGAACGTACTTATTACTTCAACTTCATCTTACGATTCTCGACTTCGTGTCTTCCTTCATATCTTGTTTCTCGCCGGGAGCCTTACTAGACTTGAATCTACCCGATCCAACAGACAACCTTGAGAACTTTACTTCACATTCCATCAATCACAATCACAATCCAATCTCATAAACGCCAACATGGCAACCGTTGATACACTCCCACCTGACACCAACGACATCCCATCCCACAACCGCATCGAACCAGGTTCCTTCCCTCTGCCCATCCAACCACTTCCTACCAGTACAAACACCAAATCCGATAACCCAAAAGCCACAGTCTCAGCCTGGATCCAATCTTTCAACGAAGCACTATCAAAAAACGATATTCCCTCACTAACAAACCACTTCCTATCCTCCGACTCCTACTGGCGCGACCAACTCTGTCTCTCCTGGGACTTCCACACCCTCCAAGGCCGCGAGAAAATTGCCTCCTTCCTCTCGTCACCAAACCCAAACGAAAAGTCCATCAGGGTTAAATCCATTTCCCTTGATGAGTCGTCGGCAATTAATGAGCCGCGACATGGTAGTATTGGCGAACTGATGACTGTAAGTTCGTTTTTGAAGGTTGAGACGGATGTTGGAAGTGGTGGAGGCGTTGTGAATTTGGTGTTTGATGAGGAGGAGAGTAAGTGGAGGGCTTTTACTCTTTTTACTTTTTTGAAGGAGATTAGGGGGTGTGAGGAGAGAGTTGGTAGTAGGAGGGGGTATGGGTATGAGACTGAGAGGGAGGGGACGTGTTGGGGGGAGAAGAGAGAGAGAGAGGATAGACTTGAGGATGGAGAGGTGGCTGTTCTTGTTCTTGGTATGTGTTCTCTACATCGGTTTCGCTTACTCGCATAATGGCATTTGATTATTGTGATTTGGGATTCGATTGAAGCTAATAAATGTAGGCGCTGGACAAGCGGGTCTTGCTATTGCTGCGAGACTTAAAATGCTGGGAGTCAAGACACTGGTAGTAGATAAGATGAAGCGAGTCGGTGATAATTGGCGAAATCGATATGCAAGTCTCGTATTGCATGACCCGGTTTGGTTCGATCATTTGCCTTATCTGTCATTTCCTGAACATTGGCCCGTTCATTCTCCTAAGGACAAGCTTGCGGATTGGTTGGAAGGTTATGCCAAGTTCATGGACTTGACGATTTGGTGTGAAACTACTATTGAAAAGTCGACTTGGGATGATGTGAAGAAAGAGTGGACTGTCAATCTCACTACCACTGGTGTTCAAAATGGTTCTTCCAAAAACACCGTAATCCATCCACATGTAAGTTCCCCCAACTTCAATTTCTTACTTTGAACCTGTAATTGACATATTCCCAGCATATAGTAATGGCAACAGGCCACAGTGGCGAGCCTAACTTTCCCTCCCATATCACTGGTATCAATTCCTTCAAAGGCACTCTCATTCATTCGTCTCGGTTCACAGGTGTCCCAACTGTCCCCAAATACAGCAAACACGCCATCATAGTAGGCTCCTGCAACTCTGGTCATGACATCGCAAAACACTACTATGAAAATGGATACCACGTAACCATGATCCAACGCTCATCAACCTATGTTGTGGGTGTAAAGACTAATGCTGATGCTATGGCGGCTCTTTATGGGCAACATGGACCACCGGTTGAGATTGCGGATGCATTGAATATGAGTCTACCGAATCGCGTGGTAAAAACCTTGAATGTAGGGGCAACCAAGATGGTAGGGAAAGTTGATGAGGAGATTCTCAAAGGACTTGAGCGTGTGGGTTTTAAGTTAGATGGCGGAGTTGACGGGTCAGGCATTTGGATGAAGTACCTCCAAAGAGGCGGAGGATACTACATCGACTCAGGTGCCTCACAACTCATCATCGACGGCCACATCAAAATCAAACAAGGCGTCGAAGTGACCTCCATTCTCCCCAACGCAGTCCAATTCTCCGACGGTACCGAACTACCGGCTGACGATGTGGTCTTCGCCACTGGATATCAGAGTATGAATACGACGTGTGCAAAGATCTTTGGGACCGAAGTAGCTTCGAAGACGGGGGGTGTTTGGGGATTGGATGAAGAAGGGGAGATTCGGGGACTTTGGAGGGATAGTGGACATCAGGGGTTCTGGTTCATGGCGGGAAATTTGATGTTGTGTCGTTGGTATTCGAAAATACTGGCTTTGCGGATTTTGGGGGTTGAGAAGGGGTTGTGTTAGGGTGGGGTTGATTTGGTGGGAATTGAGGTGATGTAGTTGAGGGTGGTATAAATAGGGGGGAGGCTATTAAAATGGAGGAGTTGGGGGTATAAGTTGTGGGGTATAGGGTATAGCTTAGGGGAATTTAGGTCCTTACTTGAGGAGTGAGAGTAGGTAGATAAAAATACGTAGTTACTCTTTGCTAACATTACCACCTAGCTTTTTAATTCCGACTTCTAGTTAATAGTTAGTTAATTTGAAGATTCACAGCGTACGAAAGAACTACTTAACTACTCGAGTAGAGTAGAGTAGAGTAGAGTAGCGGATTCTACTAATTAAGTAGTAATAAGCACTACTATTTAACTACTCGAGTACTATATAAGTAGTAGTAACGTAACTATAACGTAACTAAAGTACTAAATAATTATCCTTAAATAGTAGCTCTTTTATACTGTATTCCTAATCTTTCTCGATAAAAAATAACTAGGTATTTAAAATAAATAGAATATTCGACTCTAAAGAGCTTAATTATAATATCGCTTATACCTTCTAGGGGCCCTATAACATCCGGCTGTAACGAATACTCAAACTGGCTAACTAAACTTGGCTGGGTGTTCGCTGGTTGGTATGCTATGATAAGAAGAAGACTATCGGGTTGTTCACTTGGAAGTGAACTCGTTACTTGTATCAAAGATGTCAAAC